TGTAAAGGTTTTAGGGTTTTAACAGATGCATATTTGTACATCACATCACTGTAATCCAGAGTAAATAATAGTGTTTCTTCAACAATCCTTCTCCTGATGTGCACCATAAAACACATTTTGTGTTGATACAGGAGCCCCAGTTTTGGTCTCAATTTGTTTGTGAGGTCATTGATATGGCATCTAAAAGTACATCTGTTGCCTCCATATGCCAAGTTCACTTAATTTCAGTGACTCTTTCAATAATGGATCCCTTCAGGGTTTCTGATTTCCAAAGTGCTGAATAACAATAATATTTTTTTCATATAGCATCTTTTGAATACATAAAAATGCAGCTCAAAGTGCTTCACAATGAAATTACATAAAATATCAAAATCATGTGAGTTAAACAGTAAGTTGCAATATAGAAACAATTAATGGAGAAGCTTTTTAAATACAAATAGTATGAACCCTGCCATCTGATCCAACTCACCACCAGATGATGATCAGTTGACAGCTCAGCACCTCTCTTCACCTGAGTGTCCAGAACTATATCTAGTTGGTACCTCTCAACCTCCTGCACAAGCTCCAGCTCCTTCCCCCCAGTGAGGTTACTTTCCACGTACCAAGAGCCAGTCTCTGCCAAAGGGGCCTAGGCTTCCAAGGGCCTCCCCGCCATCTCCCAGTGCCTATACGGCACTGCACCGCTCCCCCATGCTGGACCTTGTGGGTGGTGGGCCCACATGGTCTCCCCATGTTGCCTCTTCGGGCTGAGCCCGACCGGGTTACCTTGGCTGCCCGGCCACCAGGCATTCGCCGAGGGACATTACCCTCAGGACTGGCTCCAGGCGTAGGTCCCCGTCACCCTCTCCCGTGCAGGGTACATGATCGTCTTCATCCATTTTTCATGGAGGGTTTTTGGATCGTGTTAGTCTGGGTATTCACTCCAGACCTGTTTGCACTGGGAGACCCTACCAGAAGCATATTGCTCCCAACGACTTAGCTGTGAAGATCCCTAGACCAGACAAGCCCTTCCACCATGACAAGGTCCCAATCCTGGAAGGTAAAATTTCCTTGCTACTAAATATGTCACAGTCAACTGTCTGTGGTATTATAAAAAAGTGGAAGCGATTGGGAACGACAGCAACTCAGCCACAAAGTGGTAGACCACGTAAAATGACAAAGCGAGGTCAGTGAATGCTGTGGCGCATAGTGCGCAGAGTCAATCACTACAGACCTCCAAACTTCATGTGGCCTTCAGATCAGCTCAGGACTAGTGCATAGTGAGCTTCATGGAATGGGTTTCCATGGCCGAGCAGCTGCATCCAAGCCTTACATCACCAAGCTCAATGCAAGGCAGTGGTGTACAGCGGTGCCATTGGACTCTAGAGCAGTGGAGACGTGTTCTCTGGAGCGACGGATCACGCTTCTCCGTCTGGCAATCTGATGGAGGAGTCTGGGTTTGGCGGTGGCCAGGAGACGGTACTTATCTGACTGCATTGTGCCAAGTGTAACGTTTGGTGGAGGGGGGATTATGGTGTGGGGTTGTTTTTCAGGAGTTGGGCTCGGCCCCTTAGTTCCAGTCAAAGGAACTCTTAATGCTTCAGCACCAAGAGATTTTGGACTATTTCATGCTCACAACTTTGTGGGAACAGTTTGGAAATGGCCCCTTCCTGTTCCAGCGTGACTGCACATCAGTGATTCATGTGAAACTTTGATTCATCTGACCGCAGGACACTTTTCCACTTCGCCTTGGTCCTTTTTAAATGAACTTGGGCCCAGAGAAGTTGGTGGCATTTCTGGATCCTGCTTATATATGGTTTCTTCTTTGCATGATACAGCTTTAACTGGCATTTGTGGATTGTATGGTGAACTGTGTCCACAGACAATGATTTCTGGAAGTGTTTCTGAGCCCATGCAGTGATTTCCAGTACAGAATCAGGCCTGTTTTTAATGCAGTTCAACCTGAGGGCCCGACGATCACGAGCATCAAATATTGACCATCAGCCTTTTCCCTTGCGTACAGGGATTTCTCCAGATTCTCTGATGATATTATACACTGTAGATGGTGGGATCTCCAAAGTCTTCGCAATTTTACACTGAGGAACATTTTTCTGAAATTTTCCACAATTTTTAGATGCAGTTTGTCTCAGGTTGGTGAATCTCTGCCCATCTTTGCTTCTGATAGACTCTGCCTCTCTAAAAGGATCTTTTATACTCAGTCATGTGAGTTAGTTGCAAATTGCTCCTCCAGTTTTTTATTAGTACCACTTACTTTTCCAGCCTTTTGCTGCCCTGTCCCAACTTTTTTGAGATGCGTTGCTGCCATCAAGTTCTAAATGAGTTAATGTTTTTCATGAAATGGTAAAATGTCTCACTTTCAGCATCTGATATGTGTTCTACGTTCTATTGTGAATAAAATATGCGTCTATGAGATCTGCAAATCATTGCATTCTGTTTTTATACATTTTACGCAGTGTCCCAACATTTTTTTTGGAATTGGGGTTGTATTTTTAAAATCTGAGATCAGCTCAGTTCTGTCACCTGATGGAGAAAACTTTAAATACTCAAAACTAAAGAACTATTTCAGCACAGCTTTCACATTTTGAATGGCTGCATTAATGAAATAGTTCCTGATTTTTCTTAAATGGAAAGCCACAGTGTGACCTGCCAGGTTTTTCAGGTTTTTCTTTCTTCATTATAACCTCACAAACAATTAAGAAAAGTAAAGATTACATTCAGTGACTGTTCCACATGTATGCAGCTTACAGAGCATGAGAAGCAGGACTCATCCTTTCATTTTCAACACTTTATTCTCTCTTCTGTTTTCTTTCTAGGACAGTTCTTCCTAAAAGTTCCTTATGTGCAGGTTCTGCCTGAAGAACTTAAATGCAAAACAGCCATCAGTATCTATGGAGAGCCAAAACAAAATGCTGAAAGGTAGGAGTATAATAAATAATACAGATAAAATAGCAATTATAAAAATAATATGGTTACAACGTGAATTTGTTTGTCCTTTCTCCTATTAGATTTGCCATTGACATCTGTAGAGGTGATGATATAGCCTTTCATTTCAACCCTCGTTTCAATGAGGATGGGAAGCAGGTGATCATGAGGAGCAGCAGGATTAGAGGTGTTTGGGGTCCTGAGGAAAGAGAACTTCGTTTCTTCCCTTTCAGACCTGGAAAACCTTTTGTGGTGAGTGTTGTGAACAGACAGTCCTGCTCTGCTCTGCTCACTTTCACCCCATATTAAGTGAATCTGTTTACTGAGGGATCATGTTCACTAGTGAAGGTGTTCCTTCTCATATTTCAGCCTCAGTCTCAGTGAAAGTTAATAATAGTGGTGTGTTTGATGTCACAAAGATGACGCTGAAATGTTCAAGTTAAAGCTGGCAGGATAGTTGTGAAATGAATTGATTAAATATTGCTGATTTAAGAGAAGAGATTAACCTCTTAAACTGAAGTTTTCTTATTCTGTAACTATAAAGAATTATGTGGTATCGACAAAGAATTATTCAATATTTACTATAAACTATTCAGTAACTATTATGAATTATCCAGTGTCTACTATGAATTATTCTGTAACATATAGTAGCCACTTAATAATTCATAGTCAAGTCAAGTCAAGTCAAGTTTATTTGTATAGCGCTTTTAACAACTGATGTTGTCACAAAGCAGCTTCACAGAAACCCATTTAGGACAAAGTTTCAACATGAAATGTAAATCCTCCAGGTGAGCAAGCCAGGAAAAACTCCCTCAGAGCTGAGGAAGAAACCTTGGGAGGAACCAAGGCTCACAAGGGGGGACCCATCCTCCTCTGGTCAAACTACCTACAAAATTATTATACTCCTAATATTAATAGTAGTAGTAGTAATAATAGTTAGGGGTCCACTTCAGTGTAGGGTGTGCAGCTAGTCCAAGGCAGGTGGCGGTGACAGGGGTGTGGGCAACTGGTCTGAAGCAGGTAGCAGGAGAGCTTGACAGACAATCGTCCATCAGTGTCCGGCCGGACAGGTGGGCAGTCGTTTACTCGGAGTGACTAACTAAAAAAGGTAGTGTGACTAACGTGTGGCTAACGACTCCGGCAGATCTGACTATAACAGCTTAACTAAAAGGAGTGAACCAAAAGGGCACACAGACACGGGAGCACCCTGAGACAATCTGGCATCCCTCCGCTCCACCGTCCACAAACCTGAGTGTTCGCGTGTGAGCGGCGGGACGACAGCACCAGCGTCTCAGTTTACTATAATTCCCTGCGTCCATGGACCCCTGGATCTGCTGCCTTTATCCAAGGGGAAACATTAGCTACCAAAAGCTAAACTAAACAAGTGAGTTTTCAGCCTAGATTTGAAGATTGCGACTGAGTCTGAGTCCCGAACATTTTCTGGAAGATCATTCCAGAGTTTGGGGCTTTATAAGAAAAGGCTCTTCCCCCAGATGAAACCTTCTGAATTCTGGGAACTATTAAAAAGCCAGCACTCTGTGATCTGAGTAATCGTGGTGGCTCATAATGGGAAATAAGGTCTTGCAGGTACTCAGGAGCCCATGTAGGGCTTTATACGTCAATAAAAGAATTTTGTAATCTATACGGAATTTAACAGGCAGCCAGTGGAGTGATGATAGAACTGGACTGATATGATCAAATGTTCTAGTTTTAGTGAGAACCCTGGCTGCAGCATTTTGTACTAGTTGAAGTTTACTTGAATTCTTATTGGTGCATCCTGACAGTAGTGCGTTACAATAGTCTAGCCCTGAAGTAATAAAGGCATGTACTAATGTTTCTGCATCGTGCAGCGATAAGGCATTTCTTATTCTGGCGATGTTGTGAAGATGTAAAAAAGCTGTCCTAGTGATGCTGCCTATGTGTTGATCAAATGATAAATCTGGATCAATTATGACACCAAGATTTTTTGCTGCTGAACCAGTAGTAGATAGTTCATAGTAGATGTTGAATAAATTTTAGTAATTATAATGTGCAGACACATTCGCTATTCCGACCGTTCATTTGTGGACATTGGTACTCCAACCCCTAACCTTAACCTCAACCAAAAACATAATCCTAACCATAATCTTAACCCAAAACCTAAGACTAAGCCTCACCCTCACCCTGTTACATGTTCAGTTCTTCTCATGTTAAACATCTACAGATATGAACTTGGACTTGGAAAGTGAAAAACAACTGAATTCAGCAGATTGTAAACAAATCTTATTTACACAGTTAAAAGTCTCTTGATAATCTGTTGAATATTCTGCTGCTACATTATTGATATGTAGTTGATGTCACTGAAAGTCTGCTGACAGTTAATTTCATCTTAAAATGATCACCTAAAATAATGTCACCCAATGAATTATTAAGCATTTCCTGCAAATTATTAATTACCTACTATGAATTTTGGACAATCTGTTATGAATTATTCAGTAACTAATATGAACTATTTACATACAATTACATGTAGTGAGAGCTATAATGTATTAAGTATCTACTAAGAACTCTTCAGATTCTGCAATGAATTCCTCAGTGAAATTAATGTCAGATCTGTAGAGAGACTAAGGAACTGGACTGTGGACCCTTAAACAGATCCTTAACCTGAGTTAACTCTTCGTTTTTTTTCTGTTTTCCAGATCAAGATTTTTTTCACCTTCTCTGGATTCAGAGTGGAAGTTGACAGCCATCATGTGCCGAATTACGCACATCGCATCAAGGAGCTTGACCAGATAACACACATCCAGATTCATCAAGATATTGACCTCAATCGTGTTCACATAGGTATGTAATTGAACACAGAAACGTGGTAACACTTTCTATGAATACCATGTTTCTATGAATAACAATATACTGAAAAGGTCCCAGTTCTGAGCTCCAAGACAAAGAGTACAGTGTTTCTTTGTTCCTCTGGACTCTGATACAGCACCATGATGGTCTCACACTAATGAAGAAAAAAAGCCACAACTTGGATTATGCTGTAGATATGCAGTGCGAAAAAATCTGCATGTAGTCTGTGCACAGTTAGTAGATGATCCTGTGTACAGTTAGTAGATGATCCTGTGTACAGTTAGTAGATCATCATGTTTACAGTTAGTAGATGATTCTGTGTACAATTAGTAGATGGTCCTGTGTACAGTTAGTAGATGATTCTGTGTACAGTTAGTAGGAGGTTCTGCATACAGTTAGTAGACAATCCTATGTACAGTTAGTAGATGATTCTGTGTATAGTTAGTAGATGATTCTGTGTACAGTCAGTAGATGATCCTGTGTACAGTCAGTAGATGATCCTATGTACACTTAGTACATACAGTTATGCTGCAGCCTTATTTTAAAGGTAATTTCTAATGCATTTTGGATGCATGTTGTGTTTGCATCATGCAAAAGTAGATAAGCTGTGCAGCATCTCTTAGCCAATCTGCTGAACTCCTGGCCCAGAATGTACATATTTCATAAAACTACTAAACTACCTAAAGTTTGAAAAGTGATTGAAAAAGTTCAGTCACCTGATAAGTAAAAAACTAAAATAATTAATGAAAAAGCTTGATTTTACTTGATTTTTCTTTTGTGGACATTTACAATGTGACCGGCCAGGTTTTGGGGACGTTGGTGGAACTTCAGTTTACTTTAGTAACTGAAAGCTCAACTCAGCTTCAATCAATGTTTCTCTTTTTTCATTAAAACTTGAAGAAAAACAAGGAATGATTTGACAATTTGAAGTGTCAACTGGACTGTACTAAGCAAAAGAAGTGTTAATAAAGCCCAATGTTATTATCCATCCAGCTTTGGTAAGAGTGGTGGGTGCAGCTCACAGAGCAGGAAGAACAGAACTCATCCTTTCAACACTTCACTCTCTCTTCTGCTTTCCTTCTAGGAGACATCTTCCTAAGAGATCCATATGTGCAGATTTTGCCTGAAGGAGTCATAGACCAAATGCTCATCACTGTCCATGGAGCGCCTAAAAAAGGTGTTGAAAGGTAAGAGTATAAAAATAATTCATATAGAATGATAGATCCAAAAATAAAATGGTTAAGAAAACTCAATTGTTTTCTTATCCACCATTAGATTTGACATTAACATCTGTAAAGGCTTTGATATGGCCTTTCATTTCAACCCTCGTTTCAATGAGAATGGGAGGCAGGTGGTCGTGCGGACCAGCAGAATTGATGGTTTTTGGGGCTCTGAGGAAAGACACCTTCCTTTCTTCCCTTTCAGACATGAACAACCTTTTGAGGTGAGTGTTGTGAACAGACAGTCCTGCTCTGCTCATTTTAACACTTTCACTCCATATTAAGTGAGTCTGTTCACTGAGGGATCATGTTCACTAGTGAAAGTGTTCCTTCTTCTATTTCAGCTTCAGTCTCAGTGAAAGTTACTGATACTGTTGTGTTTGACACCAAAGAGATGATGACTATTAAAGTTAATCCTAACTGGTAGGATGACTCTGAAATGAATGAGTTACATATTGTTGATTCAAAAGAACTGAGATTAACCCCTCAAACTGCAGTCTGCCTGTTCTGTAACTACTATTATTTGTTATGTAACTACTATGAATTATTCAATAACTCTTATGAAGTACTATGAGTAATTCAGTAACTACTATAATGTATTGAGTATTTATTAAGAGCTCTTCAGATTCTAATATGAATTCTCCAGTGAAACTTGTGTCAGATATGTTGAGACTAAGGAACTGAACTGTGGACCCTTCAGTTTGGATTAACTCTGTTTTTTTCTGTTTGTCAGATCAAGATTTTGTGCACAGCCTCTGGATACAGAGTAGAAACTGACACCAATCTTATGCTGCATTATGCACATCGCATCTGGCAGCTTAAGGAAATGACACACATCTTAATTGTAGGAGTTGACCTCAAATATGTTCACGTAGGTATGTAATCGTACAAAAAATCTAGGTAACAGTTTCTGTGAATAACGTATGAACAAAATTCTAAACACATTCATGACATTATACTGCATTAATAAATGCTTATAATAACCCATTACATTTTATAATCAGTTTTGTTCTGCATTATGCATTATTAACACATAAGTGTTTGTACACTCTAGAAAATGCTGTACTGAAGACTACCCATCCTGGAATAGTTGGCAACCCAGCACAGGGTAAATACTCTAAATTTACTATCGTGATGGTCTGTTCTGATGATCAAGCTCTATAATACAAGTTTTATATTGTTTGATTTTACTGTTTTAATTTTAATGTTTGATATAAATTTCACTATTTATATTTTAATAGTTATTCAAACTCCTCATTCGGCTAATTAAAACAATAAAAAGATGTGAAACAGACATCAACAGCACTGAGGAGGGTCTGCTGTTTCAAAGCTACTCATTTATATCAACATTATACTGACATTCCCAGTTCTGAGCTCCAAGACAAAGAGCACAGTGTTCTTCTGTTCCTCTGGACAGCACCATGATGGTCTCACACTAATAAAAAAAACAAAGCCACAAAATCTGCAGGTAGTCTTTGTTAAACCTGTGTACAGTTAGTGGATGATCCTGTGTACAGTTAGTAGTTGATCCTGTGTACAGTTAGTAGATTAATCTGCATCTAGTTATACTACAGCCTTATCTTAATGGTAATATCTTATGCGTTTTAGATACATATTATGTTTCAGTCATGGTCCATCTTGCCTGATGTTTGAGACGCAATATGCATATTGCCCTGAGAAAGGAACAATATCATACACCCCAAGTGTAGATAAGCTGCGCAGCAGCTCTTAGCCAAGCAGCTGAACTCCTGGCCCAGAATGAACTTTTTTTGCATGAAATACTTGAAATTTGAAAATTGATTGAAAGATAACATTTGAAAATATGTTAACAGTTCAGTTCAGTCACATAACTAAATATAATAAATATTTTAGCACAGCTTTGACATTTTGCATTGTTGCATTAACGAAGCAGGCTGCTTGAAGGAGTGTCAACTGGACACTTCAAAGAAAGCCCAATGACATTATCTATCTGTCCAGCTTTGGTAAGAGTGATGTGTGCAGCTCACAGAGCAGGAAGAGCAGAACTCATCCTTTCATTTTCATCATTTTATTCTCTTCTGCTTTCTTTCTAGAGGGCTGCTTCCTAAGAGTTCCATATATACAGGGTTTGCTTGAAGGACTAAAAGACCAATCACTCATCACCATCTACGGAGCACCGAAAGACAATGCTGACAGGTAAAAGTATAATAAATAATACAAATAGAATGACAAACCTATAAATAAAATGGTTAAAAACTTCTTTTTTTTCCTCTCCCATTAGATTCTCCTTTAACATCTGTAAAGGCAAAGATGTAGCCTTTCATTTCAGCCCTCGTTTCAATGAGCATGGGAGGCAGCTGATCGTGATGGCCTCCTTGATTCAAAATCGTTGGTGTCCAAGGGTAGAAGAATATTCTCTCTTCCCTTTCAGACGTGGACGACATTTTGAGGTGAGTGTTGTGAACAGACAGTCCTGCTCTGCTCATTTAAACACTTTCACTCCATATTAAGTGAGTCTGTTCACTGAGGGTGTTACGAAACGGCGGGGAGGCGGACCCAAGTGCAGAAATGGAAACAGGAAAAAAAAATGGGAAAAAATGAGTTGTTGTGAATCCGAAACATGCACCTGAGGTGACCCAAAGCCAGGTTCGAACCGGTGATGTATTGATCGGCGCTTCGTGGCGTTGCCACTGCGCCACTGAGGAGCACAGGTAACTACCGGCAATAACACCTCAAGGAAGGGGGAAAAGAAAAGGCGGGAAAATGACGAACGGCAAACAAAAGAGACGCTGAGAGCAGCGTGCTCAAACAAAGGCTGAACTAGAGAGGCGAGAGGACAGATAATAGGAAAAACAAAAAACACTTCCACTCCAAAAACGAAGGGAAGGCAGACCTCTTCTTTTCCCTTTTTTTAAATTTATTTATTTATTATTTATTTATTTATTTATTTTTTTTTGGCTTTAAGCCGCTTTGGGACAGTTTCTTTTCTCAGCCCTCTTTTCTTTTTTAGTTTTGGGGCAATTTCTCTTCTCAGCCCTCTTTTCTTTTTCCTTTTTAGTTTTGGGACAGTTTCTTCTCTCAGCCCTCTTTTCTTTTTCTTTTTTAGTTTTGGGGCAGTTTCTTTTCTTTTCTTTTCTTTTCTTTTCTTTTCTGACACTAAGTACCGTACCGGTCACCCCTCTACAAAGGTGTGACAAACACCACTGTTTGCCTTGACCTTAAGTAGAGGAGTCCGCAGGTGTGTCGCGTTGGGCCTAATCAGCCCGCGGACTTCTGGGAATTGGAGTTCCCTGAAGTTATGGCCCTGTGCCGCGGTGGACACCCTGCCGCCGTCGCCCTCTGCTGGCAGCAGGCGGCACAGGCTGGACACCCTGCCGCCGTCGCCCTCTGCCGGCAGCAGGCGGGGCCGGCTGAACCCTTACAGAGGGATCATGTTCACTAGTGAAAGTGTTCCTTCTTATATTTCAGCTTCAGCTTCAGTCTCAGTGGAAGTTATTAATACTGGTTTGTTTAACGTCACAAAGCTGATGTTGAAATGTTCATGTTAATCCTGACCGGCAGGATGATTGTGAAATGAATGAATTAAATTTAATTAATTTTTCTGTGTGCACTATGAGTTATTCAGTACCTACTTTGAATTATTCAGTAACTATTTACTTATTTAATAAACATTATAAATTATTCAGTAAATTTTCAGTGACTATTATGAATTATTCAACATGTACCGTGAAATATCTACTAATATGAATTTTTCAGTAACTATTATGAATTATTCAGTAACTATTATGAATTATTCAGTAACTGCTATAATGTATTGAGTGCTAAGAGCTAAAATGTATTGACTATTAAGAGCTCTTCAAATTCTACTTTGAATTCTCCAGTGAAACTTTGTCAGATCAGTAGAGAGACTAAGGAACTGAATTGTGGATCCTCATACAGAACCTTAAAGAGTTCACTCTCATGATTGTTCTGCTTTTCAGATCAAGATTTTTTGCACATCTTCTGGATACAGAGTGGAAGTTGACAAAGTTCATGTGCTGCATTATATACATAGCTTCTGGGAGATGGACCAGATAACACACTTCCACATTCATCGAGACGTTGTCCTCAAGGATGTTCACATAGATATGTAATTGTACAAAGAAGCTTGGTAACACTTTCTGTGAATAACATGTCTGTACAAAACTATGAACACATTCATGACATGTTATAATGCATTTGTTTATAGAAGTACATTACACTTTATAACCCTGTTTGTTAACACATTGTAAGCAGTCGTCTTATACTCTAAAAAATGCTGTGCTGAAAAATACCCAACTGGGTTTTTTTTTGGCAACCCAATGCTGCGTAAATATTTGACAGAACACAAACTGGGTTATTTTTAACCAACATTTTATTTGAAGAAATGTGACCATTGTGATGGATTGTTACAATGACCAAACTTTATAATACATATTAGAACTTACGTTTTATGTAATTTTAAATTACTTATTTTGATAATGACTCAAATTTCTCAGTCAGCTCATCAAAACAATAAAAAGATATGAAATGGACATTAGCAGCACTGAGGAGGGCTCTACTCTATGCACAGGGTTCTACTCATTAACAGCAACAATATACAAAATATTCTCAAAAATATCCTCTCATTGTGTGTAATTCGTGGATTTGTGTGTCCGTCATCTGCCTCTCACCTGTAATTTGTGGATTTGTGTGCTCTTCTATGTTTTGTGTAAAACTGACCAATGGACACTTTAGGAAATCAGTAAGGATGGACCCATCATGCTAGAAACCTTTCATTTTTCATTCAGTTGCTTGGACACAGATGTCAGTAGGTTGTAAAAAAAAAGCCACTGCACTTACTACAGTGGTTTTGGAAAGTAGTGATGAGAGCATTTATTTATTTTTTTATTCATAAATGTCGTTACTTTGTGAACCTGAGACTTTTGTAAACACGTTTCAAGCACCAAAACAATTTGCCCACAGGAGTAAAGAAATATTAAGAATTTCTAAAATCTGATATCACTTTTCAGCTTTAGGTCTGAAGTATCTCTAAATACAGTGCTCCAGGCAAAAGGGCCTCATTATAGAGAGCTGAGATTGTTCTGAACATTTTGATATATAATATGTGGGCATGCAAGGGCCTTTAAAGACAAATTTAAGAATACATTCAAAAATCAAGAAAATGCGCTCAGACCCCAGAAGGTTAAACACGTTATTTTTCTAGATTGAAAAAACGATAAGAAGGATATGCAACTGCAGTAAAAATAATTATCAAGCATCTGGAGAGCTTACAGTCTACCTGGCTGTTGTTGTAAATCTTTGACTTTGCCAAAAGTAGAGAGTAAGTAAGTAAGTAAGTAAAGTTTATTTATATAGCGCTTTTTACAACAGGTGTTGTCACAAAGCAGCTTTACAAGGAAATGAGCATTACAAAAAGAAATCCGGGTCCGAGAGTCAGGAGACCACCGGATACTGGAAGATGGTTTTATTCTGACAACAGGCTTTATACAGTGCACTTGTTAATGATCTCTGTAGTAAGTCAGGAGACTCAGAGGTCAGTGATAGATAGATAGACAGATAGATAGATAGATAGATAGATAGATACTTTATTGATCTTGAAAGGAAATTTAGCAGCCAGTAGCATTCACACAACACAGGACAGTAATAGTATAAGGGTGTAAACAGGAAGAATAAATATAAAAAATCCTATCTGCAGGCATATATACAAATAAAAAAGTACAACAATCTGGTATAACATCTATAACCTGAGATGAAAGTGGCAGTGCAATGATGACTGTACGAGGAGGCACTGGTAACGGCATATAATGACAATACTGAATAAATATGTGCAGATGTTGGTACCAAAATAAAGTGTCTAGTGTGGACTGTCCAGATGTGAAAGATTTGTGATAGGGCTACAGAAAGTGCAATATGTACAGTAAGGTGTCCACATGTGCATGAGATAAAACCTATGATTTAACATGAGATTCAGATCCAGTCCTCATCTCTCCTCTTCCCTCTTCTTTCTTCTCTTCTTGCCCCCCTGGGAAGAGTTGAAGAGTCTGATGGCTCGTGGGACAAAAGATTTTCTGAGTCTGTCAGTTAAGCAGCTCTGTGACAGCAACCTGCCACTAAACATGCTCCTCCTGTCCATGATTATGGTGAGCAGTGGGTGGCCATCATCCTCCATAATGGAGAGCAGTTTGTGTAATGTCATTCTCTCGGCCACCTTGATCACAGAGTCCAGTTCCACACTGACCACTGACCCCGCTCACCTGACCAGCTTGTCCAGTCGCATCTCGTCTCTCTTTTTCATGCTTCCTCCCCAGTACACCACAGCATAAAAAAGACAGCTGGCAACCATGGTCTGATAGAACATCTGCAGGAAATCAGCCTCCTCAGGAAGTAGAGCCGGCTTTGCCCCTCCTGTACAGGATGTCTGTGTTGGCTGACCAGTCCAACCTATCTCCAGTTGCAGTCCGAGATACCTGTAGGTCATTACCCTCTCCACTCCAAACCCTCAAAAGAGATTGGCTGTGCGGGTGGCCTATCCCTGCGTAAGTCCACCACCATCTCCTTGGTCTTGGCAGTGTTCAGAAGCAGGTTGTTCCCACAGCACCACTCCACAAAGTCCTTCACCAGGGTCTTGTACTCCTCCTCCTGCCCTTCCCTTACACAAGCCAAAATGGCAGTGTCATCCGAAAACTTCTGCATGTGGCACGTCTCAGAGTTGTACTGAAAGTCTGAGGTGTACAGTGTAAAGAGAAAGGGGGAAAGTCTTGTGACATGTGATGTTAGAGCGACTGGCCTGAAGTCATTGAGTTCACAGGGTCACCCCCTCTTGGGTACTGGAGTGAGGCATGATGTGTTCCACAGTGTGGTAACCCTCCCCAAGCGCAGACTCAGGTTGAAGATGTGCTGTAGGGGTGCCCCCAGCTCAGCAGCACAGGACTTAAGTAGTCTAGGACATACTCTGTCCGGACCAGCTGCCTTCCTTGTGTGGAGTTTCCTCAGCTCACCTCTAACCTGATCTGATGTGCTAATGTGTGAAGAGGGGGGAGAGGGGGCTGTTTTGTCTGTGCTGCCAGCCTGTGGGAGGGGTGCATGAATATCAATAGAAGAAGATGAGGTGTTGATGTCCAGGCTAGAGACTGAAGTATCAGCAGCTGAGAAGAGGGAGGGTGTGGGGTGACCGCTGGACATACAGGCGCAGTGGAGATCTGAACAGTGCCGTCAAACCGGTTATAGAATATGTTGAACTCATTGGCTCTCTCTGCGTCACCGTCTAACACATTGTCCATTCTCTGCTTACAGCCTGTAATGGTCTTCATACCATTCCATACCTCCCTCATGTTATTCTCCCTTAACTTCTGCTCCACCATCTTCCTGTTCAGCAGGGCTTTGACACTGCTGGTTATCCAGGGCTTGTTATTAGCAAAGCAGCGGACAGTTTTCACAGGAACAACAATGTCCATACATGTTCATGTAGTCCGTAATGCAGTGCGTAATCCAATTCTCCGTAATCCCCTCAATGTCCTCCCCATACGGCTCCTGCAGTACACTCCATTCAGTGGACTCAAAACAATCCCTGAGAGCTGCTTTGGCTTCAGGTGACCATTTCCTGAAGGAGCGCGTTGTTACAGCTTGTCTTCGGACACGGGGCTTGTACTGAGGCTGCAGAAAGACCAGGTTGTGGTCAGATTTTCCCAGAGGGGGCAGGGGTGTGGCGGTGTATGCATCCTTCACATTGGCATAAAGGAGATCAATTGTCCTGTTCTTCCTAGAAGGAGATTAATTGTCCTGTTCTTCCTAGTAGTCAATAACTGATGGATCAGAGGATGGTTCATCTGCTGATGGGAACAAAGGAGGCTGAAAACCTGAAAGATGAATTAATTAATGAATTGCCTGTGTATTTGGCCCATGGTAAATAGTGTGACCAGTAATTTTGTGACCTACTACAAGAGGACCTCAAGTTATAAACATGTTCTAAGATGGGAGAACTTGTTTTTAAATATCATTCCTGTATGATGAATGCCTGGATGACCTGAAATGAGTGTACTGTGTACTAACTCTAACACGTGCCATCTTAGTGAGGAGGGAACATCTGATTTTGTGTTTTTAGAGCCTGGGTGATTCGTGACTGTACGATTAAAATGAGTGAAGAAAAGTGTCCAATGAGCCTGTCTAGGGTTTGTTTGGCTGATCTTATGTACCTTAGATTATGGAGATCTGTCAACACCCAAAACTGGTGTAAAGCTCCTTCAAACCAATGTCTCCATTCTTCACAGGCTAATTTTATTGCCAGTAATTCACTTTGATTTCATATGTCATAATTTCATTCAGCAGGACCCAGTTTGCATTAGTAAGTAAATGTATGGATTAAGCTTTGCTGGTAAGCTGACTTTTTGGGAAAGAACAACATGAACTCCTGAATTTGAAGCTACCATTTTGACAATAAAAGGAAAAGAGCGATCTGGATGCTTCAGAATGGCTTCAATGATCAGTTCTTCCAAGATTCAAAAGCAATTGAGGCATTTTCATGTCACTGAATCATTTTACTCTTGCCTCATAACAAAGACATGAAAGGTGCTGCTACTAAAGCCTCAAATAAACCTGCAATTAAATTTGGCAAATTTCAGAAATCTCTGCAATTCTTTGAATGTGGAGTGGGCTATTGTTCTATGGCATTCACCTTACCTTCATCTATGTGCACCTTTGCAGTGATTAGAACATACTCCAAAAATAATTTGGATGTTTGGGGAAGTCACACTTTTCACCTTTGACATATTTATGGTTGTCTAAAAGTCTCCAAAAACTCCAATGACTGTGAATACACCAAAATATCATCCATATATACTACAACACTACAATCTAACATCTCACAATGCACTTTGCTGAAAAAGCTTGGAACACAGAGGAGGCATTTACCAACTTGTATGGCATTAACATATACTCATAGTGTCCGCTATTGCTCACGACAAGTTTTCTGTTTGTCTCTTTATTTGTCCTACTTAAGTCATAGATGCTCTGTAGGTCCAATTTGGTCAAAATGGTAGTGCTGAGAGAGACATATTTAACCTGCTTTCAGTGCCTCATCAATATATTCATCCAAAGATTTAGATTCAGGAATAGACAGAGGAAAAATCCTGTTTATGGGGAGTTTAGTGTCAGGCAAAAGATCACAATCCCATGATCTATGAGGGGGTAACTGACAAGCTTTATTCTTTAAAAAACAAAAACAAAAAAGTCATCAGCATTATAATGTCATTGGGGTTTTCTACTGTGGTGGATTTGACTGGTAGACTGATACAGTTTTTAAACATTTTGATCCCAATTTGGTGATTTATTTCTCATTGATCTCAAGTGTCTGATGTTCTCTTAGCCATGGGAAGCCTAAATGAATGGGGCATTTGGGTGAAATTATTATTACTGCACTGGTGTTCCTCTACAATCACATGGGCCTTTCCAAGTTCAGTGGGCTCTGGATGAAGTGATACTGGTGTAGCTTGGATATTGGTGTTGGTGGAGAAAAGTGTTCACAGTGTCTTTCTCCTAGCAAATTATCCAAGGTGACTGATGTCTGAATGAATTGTTTTAGGGACAAGGCTTCACCATGCCATTTCTGCTTGGAGGTCCTTCTTAAGTCCCTTCTTATAAGTTGTAAGAAAGGTACAGTCACTCCATCCACTCCCTGCATAAAGTGCTAAAGTGCAAAATTCTAAGGTGTAATCTGCTGCTGACGGTAAAACTACCAACGGACCTGTTAGCTTCCTTATTGCTACAAAATTTTCCGAAGCCCTTCAAGCAGTGAAAGCTGACATATGCAACAAAATTGACTCTAAAATTGACTCTCTGTGTACCAGGCTTAAAGTGGACTGTGAGACAAGAGTTTACAGCCAAAACTTACTCTGGATGCACATAGTCACTCCATACAAGAGCTGGAACATCATGCTTCATCTCAGAGTGATCTTGTTACTGGCATGAAATCCATATTAACTAAACTCTTTTTTGAAGTGAAGGCACTAAATACAAGATGTGATGATCTTGAAGGCAGACAGAGAAGATGTAATCTACATACTTAGTGTACTTTAAGCTGAAAGGGCAGCAGTGGAGCAGGGTGCTGAGGCCACGGGCAGGGAACTCGGAGGCCGGCCGGTCAGGGAGGTTGGGGACTGCACCAACATCCTTGGGTGCGGGCTGAGCCTTGCTAACATTCTGATGTGCAGGCAGGTTCTGCTGTGACGTCCATGGAGGCTGGCGAGCCTGCCGGCTTAGCAGAGACCTCAAGAAGAAGAGTTCTGTATGATGCCTGAGACAAACTTGCTTGCACAAATATAAAAAATATCCAGAGTACGTGCATCTTTGGTTCTTTTCTCAAGCACAATAGTTGCCCAATCCAGAGCTCTGCATCTGAGAAAAGTCCTTAAAAACAAAACTTTCACAATGTCTGGTGGAGTAGGACATTGTAAATACTGAAGGCAAAGTCTGCACTGCCTAATAAATCCATCACAAGTGCCATCTTCACCATCATACTCATTAGGGTTAGCCATCAATGAAGGAAGGAGAAGAGATTTCCCTGACTGGAGAGCGGAGAGATATTCTGCATTATTAAACCTCTCTTTCTCTGGAGAGAAGAACTCACTGCATCCTTCTTTGGTTTGGCATTCTATAACAGGGGGAGCAGGAGATGAGGCTGGATGCAAGTGTGAGTTGGTTTTATCAAAGTCCATGGCAGAAACAGGAGCAATAAGCAGGAAAAATAAAAAAACATGAGGAAACAAACCAGAAATAAAACAGAACCATGAGGCAAAACGATAACAACAACATAACAGCAAAGCTACAACTATGAACCATACAGACTGAATGCACATTCATGTTCACACTCAATGC